TTTTTTTATTTTTGGAAAATTTTTAGGTATGTAGTTTTATAGCTCATTAAATTAGTATCACGAAGTGCTGGAATTTGCGTGGATTTTTAGGATTCTTTTTCTTCTGACGCTGCTAGACATTTTCTCCCATTTGCGTAAAGGGTGCTCGAAATGCCAGGAAAAAAAAAACAATTAATAAAAATCAACGCGAATTCTTATACATAAAATTTTTCCGAAAAATCAATTTAAAATTTCGGTGAATTTTCTTTTTTATGAAAATATCGTCTAAGCTTTAACCAAAACCGTGTAATTCACAGTTTCAAACTTTATACAACATTTAGGAAAATTCAACAAATTTTCATCAAAATTTCAACTTTTTATTCTAAGTTTTCAAAAAATTTTTGGGTATGCAGTTTTATAGCCCATACAATTTTAGTCTAATGAAGTGCAAGTTTCAAGCGGCAAAAAAATCGCATTGATTTTCGATTTTTTTTTTTTTTGGTGACGGATTTTTGCATTTTTTTCATATAGTACGAATTACTTATAAAATAAAACGTGGGAGACCGTCAGCAGCGAAATCTCAAAATATCAACGGAAGTTTTTGTAAATTGCGTTTGTTATATTAAAATCCCCGAAAAAGTAGCCTAAAAAAAAATTCTCAAAACTCAACGCAATTTTTTAGCAGTTTGAAACTTGCACTTCATTAGACTATTAGATCATACACTATGGAAATTTTCTAAAAATTCAGAATAAAAAGTTGAAATTTTTTGAAAATTTGTTGATTTTTCCTGCATTTTGTATAAAGTTTGCAACTGTGATATACACGGTTTTGGTTAAAGCTTAGATGATATTTTTATAAAAAAATAACAAAAACAAAAATTTAGCTTGAAAAAAATTACGAAAATTTATAATACACAACACGTGGTCATTTGTTTGAGCCACTGAATATGTATATACTCTAGGGTGGTTCAAAGAAGGTAAAGGCAGAATTTAAATGCTCTCACACCTTGGATTGTTCTATATCGAAAAAATATACCCTTGCTTTTTTAATTAAAAAATATTTAGAGGTCGCTGAGTGCGCTCGAAATTTGTTATATATTTTATATGGTAAAATTACAATTTTTCGAAGGAATGGTATAGAATCCTTGAAAATTTATATTTTTTAACTGGCAGAGTTTCTGCCCATGAGACTTGAAGGAATAATACTCCGTTATTTATTTAACCAATTTTTAATATTAACTAATTTTTATGGATACCCCTAAAAATCCAATAGGGAACCGTAAATCTATATTTTTTCGATATAGAACAATCCTAGGGGGTGATAGCATTAAAATACCGACCTTACTTTTCCACATGCATTTGTGGACCACCCTGATATACATACAGTGGAGAACAAATAGATAGGGACGCGACATTTTAACAAGTTTGGCTATTTTTCTTTTGTTTATTACTATTTTTTTTACAAAAGTATAGTTTACCAACTAACAAAAACCATGTAAGTAAAAATTTCAAACTTAAGCTACTTTAAACTTGCACTTTATTGTACTAAAATTGAATGCGCTACAAAACTGCATATTAAAAATTTCTCTAAGAAATCTTATTTGAAGGCTTCCAAGTTTTACGAAAGTTTGTCGAATTTTCTTAATTTTTGTACAAAATTTCAAATTCGAAAGAAAAGAAAAATAGCCAAAACTTTTTAAAATGTCGCATCCCTATTTATTTTCGCGCCACTGTATTTCGTTTTTTTTTTTAATGTAAACTCACCCTATCCTTCAGCTTTGCGCTAATCACACTCTTCACCATGCCAAATAATTTCTCAAATATCGGCAGCACATTGATGAAATGGAAACCCTTCATGCGTGTGGGTGCAGCCTTATTGACGAGTAGCGTTAGCCTACGAACAAATTCGGGTTCGAAATTCATTAACACAGCCTTCGAAATATTACCCAAATCAATGATGAATGTATAGCCAGCAATAAAAACGCGATCATTCTCCTGCATAAGAATATCGACTATCATTGAACCGACTTTCAAGACATCATTGATTGTGTGCAGCTCCATGTTGAATGCGCTGGGACGAAGCAGGATTACCAGAGGGCCACCATCGCTCGCAGGCTCGGGCAGCGCAGCAGCAGCGCTGTGAAAAATTACCGAAATTCATTAATTCTTCCAAATTTCTTTTAATTCTCGTTACTTTTTTTAAGTTCCTTCATTTAACTCATATTTTAATTTTTTTCCATACGAACACTCACCCCGACTTAATGATCGCCTCGTACTTGGGCTCACTCAAATTCCGATTGCGAAACATTTCTGGCATAGCCGCGCGCAGTATGTAAAAGTTTTCCAATTTTTGTTTCGCCTTCTCCAAGCTGAACTTCGAACCGCGCAGGAATGCCATCAGGAATTGATCATCGGTGCGTGCGCGCAAAAAGGGCTGCTTCTCGGCCCATTCGCGCAACGTATTCACATAATAGTCATTGTCGTCACACTTCTCATTCAGCTCCTCGCTGGCTTTCTTGGCCAAATCGTCGGGTAGTGGGCGTAGGATTACCATTATTTCTTTTTCCACTTTAAAGTGTGTTTGTGTGTGTTTGAGCGCGCACGCTTTACTTGTCTTGTGTATTTGAAATTTAAGATATTTGGTCTGTCTACTAGCGTTCGTTCGCGTTGCACTCGTTTTGGCAGCTGTCAGCGATGCGACTGAAATCGTTCGGCACTAGTAAGCTGCTTTTTATTTAACGTGTATCGGTTTTTTAAGATTTTTATTTTTTTATTTTCTTTTTGTAAATATCTATGCACTGTTGGCGTCTATGCGCTAATTCGCCGACTCACTATGTACTAACGCTGTGTTAAGTGTTGACCGCGTTGCAATTTGCAGCTTTTGACCGTTTGAAAGTGGCGATTATAGGGTTTTTATGTGCACGCATGCGCATAAAGTACTTGATTAAGTGAGTGCATATGAAATATGATACATGTACATATATGTTTATGTATTTTAGTACAGTAAGTAATGCTCGTTAAATAATTTATGTGCCAAAATTTTCACTAACTACCAGCTTATTATCTCGCAGACACTTCGAGGGGGGAATACATTTATGATACCTACAAAGTAATAACATTTTCATTGAAGCATTGTTGGCTTTTGTTACATATGTATGTATGTATTTCATTCTACTGGCTTCATAGCTGACAATTCTTCGCATGCCTTACTTTTGCTTTCCACTGTCATAAAAGCAACTAAAAAATTATTACGAACGTAGTTAAAATGTTTCGCTACTGCTTCAAAAAAATCATTTGTATATCGTCCGTGGTTAAATATCGTCATACGTAACTAACCGGTTCAAGCGTAAGCACGTATCAATGGTTATAATTTTTGCGAGTCTACTCATGAGTTGTATCTATGCACGTTGATTTGATTGACTATCATTTGGTTAGTTTGGTTAGTTAGTATATGCACAAACATATAAACATATGATTTTCTAACCTCTTTTCACAACTCTTTGACGAGGCGAGCGCTGCCCATACGTACGATGTAAGCGTTAAGGTCTTCTTCTCCGCGCATCTTTAAATACATATGTTTTCGGCAAAAAAAAATTATTTTATGTTTTTGTTTTTTTTTGCGATTATGAATTTATGTTGATTATCTTTCGTGTTTAACGGTTTCTTTCCCAATGACCTTTGCCAACATATCCGCCCATATTCGCTACTACTTACTAGTTACTACACATGCACAGCTATATACAAGCTTACATTTTAATACTTCTTTCTTGTACGAGTACGCTTTAGCGATTATCTAAAAATGGTAGTTGCACTTATAAAGTAAAGTAAGCAATCAAGTTTTGAGACAGTTTTTTTTTTTCATTTAATTTCAATAGCTGGTCAATACTGTATATAAAAAGTGTATAAAAAATAGCACAAATGTAAAAAAGCCACAAAAAACCACTATATGTTTACTACCAAAAGTGGCAACCTTTTTGTATGCAAATGAGTCACAAGTGTTGTTTATTCTTTCGTTCGATTAGCCAATGCACCGTTATTCGACCTTGACTCCGCGCAATAACGAACGAGACTGACTAATTCTTTCTGATGAAAATGCACCTTTGCACTATGGTTAATTTGATCAGTTTTTGTAGCAAAAAGTCGTTTTTCATACTTATAAAAATAAAGTTTTTACCCTTGGTATTTGATAAAGAAAACTTCAAACCAAATAACGGTATCTTTTGTTTTTGTAAACTTAGTAGGTGGTCAAAGTTGTTGTCTGTAAGTGAAATATTGGCATCGATTTTGTATTCAGCTATTTTCGAACAACCATATATAAGTTAAAAATTATCTACAAAGTAAAAAAAAGTATAGAAAAAAGTAATTTTTAAGCAAAAAACATTACCGACTTCAATTCTCATATAAAAATTTAGGAGTGCCGTAAATTTTTTCATGATCCAATGATCGGATCAAAACCAAAAAGAATTATCGAAATCGGTTGACGCGGTGCAAAGTTATGCGATAACATACAACAAAAAATATGCCGACGAATTGATAACCTCCTCCTTTTTTGAAGTCGGTTAATGAACACATTTAACTGGTATTTTTCTGATTATAATTTTTTTTGAGCGAATATACATTAGGATGGTAAAAAAAAGTAGAGCCGGAATTTTGATGTTCTATACCGAAAAAATATACCCCCTTTTTTTCTTTATTTTGAAATCAAAAAATATTTAGCGGTCACTCAAAGCGCTCAAGGTTTTCCATGTATTTTATATGTGGGAAATGGCATAGAATTCCTGAAAATCAATCAAATATTCAATCGGGAACACTCTGTTTCTCTTCAGGAGACTCTCAATAATGATACCCAATTGAATGGTCAACAGTTTTCTTAAAACTAGTTTCTTTAACTTCAAACGATATAAATGTAGTATGTAAATTGTACACTAGGGTGGATCAAATTAGTCGGACGAAAGTTTTTCGACGAATCAAATATTATATTTTGTTTCTATAGATAATTCTAAAAGATTATATAGAATAAACTTTAAGTTGGAAATGAGTTTCCAGCCTGCGCAGTTTTAAAAGAAAAATTTACTTTTTCAGAAAATTTAATTCTTTCATTCTATGCCGGTTTTACGGCGTTCACCTTTTGTTACAACTAATGAATACAAAATACGTACATATATCTTTTAGTTTATTACATTTTTAATTGATTTACCATATTTACCATCCAAAATCCGTGTCAAAATTATAAACGCGCCACATATTGACAAGTCTTGAACACTTTTTTTTGTCATTTAATTTTAGTTATTTTTTTTGTAAAGATATTTTTTACTCTAAAAAAGTCGTATAAATACAAATTTAAAACTTTGTGCAATTTAAAAAAAAAATTAGCAATTTTTGGTAAAAATGTAAAGATTTTTAGATGGATTTCTTAGGAAAATGTTGAGCAAGTGCAAGTAGCTAAGACTTATCGTCGATTTTTGACATTTTTTTGTTGAAAAATAAAATAAAAAATCATTTTCAGCAAAAATTACAAAAATTTTTACTGTTTGCTAATTCTTTAAGTTTAAAATTCAAAAATGTTGAAAACAAATAAAGCAAATATAAGAAACTTAAATACGACATTTTATATGAAAAAGTTTTAAGAAAAGTTGCAAAAACTAATATCGTAAAAAGGTATTTTTTTCACTAAATAATGCGCACGATCGAAACTCATTTCTGACCTATCGTTTCTTCTAAATTCTCTCAGGATTATCTGCAGAATCAGGAAATACCATGCGATTTCTTAAAATCAAAAGTGACCCAGCCTATTGTACATATATATTTTATACTGTAAGAGCAAGTTTCTTGAATACTCATATACCGAAAAAGTAGAAAACCAAATCAAATGAGCTTATGTATGTACGTGCGTTATTAAACACATTTTATTCTTATTTCTGCAGAATTATAATTTTGCAGCGGCAACCATTCAATTGTTTATTTAACCATTTTTTAATACATATAACTCTTTTCACATGCACTTTTGGACCACTCTAATATACAACTTCTGACATAACCTTCAATTAATTTTTTTCTTAAAATTTGAAAAAGTGTTTAGAATGTTGGCCAAGTTTAGACTATCAAAACCGTGTAACATGAGTTTGATTCCTCAGTTTCATGTTGCGATTTTTTGCAATTTCTGAGAAAATATTTTTTACAAGCGTTTTTTGTGGGTATTTTTGTACTATAAGCAGCGAACTATTTAACATTTGGGAGGACAACTCAATAAAGAGAGGAAACAAAAGGCTGTTTATAACTTTGTTGTTGCAATGGCTGCTCATTTTAACTTTCCAGCAGATAAATTAGGAAATTCAGACCTTTCAGGTTTGCAATTGAAATTAATATAATTTGGAATTTTTGTTTTTTTTGTAAGTAAGTGGCACTTTTTTCTTTAACACAAATATTTAGAAAAAAAAACAACATTAAAACTTTTCCAATAAAACCTCATATTGAAATTTAATGCCCTTAGGTCCATTGGTCGTCAGGGGTTGACAAAAATCAAGGCAACAAAATGTAGGATATCATACGTGTTACGCTTCGCAGAATAAGATTAAGCCGCATTGTTTGAACTTTAATTTGGTCCCGAATGGCGCGGAGAGGTGCTTTCCAATTTTAATGGTTCTAAAAGTTGTGCTCAACGTCAGTTTCTCTTCACGCTGTCAAAGCAATGAAAAATTGGTTGCTAATCTAAGGTCTTTTCCAGGACACACTGAAAATCTGGTCAATGATGCAATAATAAAGTCAATCAGTTTGTTCATGAAGAGCTTGAGTCTTCCACATAGTATCGTCTATGGGACCTTATATGTAATGTTGAGAAGATTTGTACCGCAGCAATTGCCACAATAGCAGGATATCCCATCACTGAGATTCCATGATCCCTATAAATTTCACTGCGTACACTGGATTTCCGTCTTCATCTTTACAGAAACCAGCTGCAGTCTTGAAAGAATTTAACTGCCGCCCTATTTTCTGATTTCGTGCTCCATTCTTTCTTGTCGGGCTTCAAAGCTCTTGCACTCACCTCTTTCTATCTCCATTTTCTTCCTCTTGAAAATCGTGTCTCTCGATGGCATTGTTAGCGGGGTGGTTTCTTTTAATTTCACTGTTGCAAAGTGTTTGGTCGAACTTCTCTAATTTGTGGGGTGCATGCTGATTTTATAACACAAATGGAAGGACCTAAAGTTTTCTACCGCCTCTGAACGGCAATCGAGTGGCGACCGCTGTTCCTTTTCTAATTTAAATGTTGTTGTTTTTTGCGATTTTTCTTTGTGTTTTGTTTTGTGATTTCTTGGAACGATCTCCCGTTTTTTTTTTGAGATTTTCCTGTGATATTTCTTTAAAGGTTAAATTCTCTTCATACTCTTTTTTCAGGAATTTTCGCGACTTTTTATGAGACTTTTCCGGGTTTCGTGATTTACTTTTTTCAGAATTTTTTCGAAAGCTTTTTGGGATATTTTCGAGACCTTGTAGGATTTTTGCGTTTTTTCCAGATTTCCGGGAACTTTCCTTTTTTTGAATACCAATAAATTAAAAGACAAACAAGTAATTTTTAGCAAAAAAAACCGACTTAAAAAATATATATATATATCTATATATTTCATGATCCAATGATCGGATCTAAACCAAATTAGTATGGGACCACCTCTGAGACACTGCCTTTCCGTTGCAAAGTTATGCGGTAACATACATAAAAAAAAATAAAAAAAAAAAAAA